GGGAAATCAAATGGTCCCTGGGTAATAAACAAATTACTCAGTGACATTGTTGTCAGTTTGGAGATGTTTGGGGAATAACCAAGAAATTGTATTCAAGCTCACAGATGTACACTTCATAAGGAAGAGACACTTGGAAGCATGCTTAATTGCAGTTTTGTTGTTAACCCTACAGAAGAACAAGAACTCATTTACGATTATAGGTGAGTGGATTGAACAAGTCTTCATGGTATCAACCTATTTCTAATGATTATTCCTGACCATTTCAGTTTTAACTACAGACACAACTTATACCTGTCATTTTGCTTTTCCTTATCAATCCTGTCTCTATTTTCTATTATTTCCAGACTAATGGGAAGTCTGAGGAAAAGTAACATTTTTAAAACTTTTCCAGATAAAGTGTTATTACAGGAAATATGTTATTTGGTGGTTTATGTGTGAAGCAGAGAGATAATATAACATGAGTCTAAATGTTTCTTGCCCCACAAAAAACAGCTTTCTAAAGGGGTTTCCAGTTATTCAATAAAGTTAGGTCACCTTGTTTTTCCCTAGTTTTTATGCAGCCATATTTACATTTTTGCAATAACTATCTGTTTTACTGGTATTTGCATAAGTGTGGAACCCACAAACGCTGACACTGAGACAATGTCTTGACTATGTTTATTTTATGGGTGATTCCAAAGACCATGCAATGGAGAGAGAGAGAGAGAGAGAGAGAGAGAGAGAGAGAGAGAGAGAGAGAGAGAGAGAGAGAAAGAATAAGAAATCCAATAATTGTGAACCAAAAATAGGGTGCTGCTATTAGCAAGTAAAATGCAGGTGCAAAACTGTATCAAGGGGTCTCTAATGCCACTTAGGAGTAGTTACAGAGAACAGGGAACATTGAGTCAACACATTCATTAATATTCCTTATTCCTCACATATCTTTCTTTAATGCATTAAATTCCACCTTCTTAAATGTTTTACAAACCTTTCACTGCTTAGAGAAAAGCAAAAATAATTATATATAGACAGTTATTGATAGCCATATCTACAGTAAGTAGAAAGATCAGAGCTCAACTGTAAAAACAAGTCTGTATTTAGGTTGATGTACATTTCCTCTGTCAATTTCATATTAAATTTACCTTGCTCTAATCAATGATGGTCACAAATTAAAGAATTACTAATAAGTGGTATGTATGCTTTCCATTTCAATCAATTTGTTATAAATTCTATATCTTTTTAAGTTTGGCATTGCCTTTCTCACATGTTCTGTACAAATGGACTAAGAATTCTCATCCTAATTTGGACTCACTAGGAGACTAAAGAGAACCCTACCAGTACTTATGTCAGAAATCTAGTCAAACTTAAAACAGATGCCCCAGAAGCCATACAAGGAAGGAGATCAAATGTTCTGAGCTTTCTATTAGAGGAACCAGCAGCTGAGATAAAACCTTTAATGCAGTTATAAAATACCTCAATCCATGCTTCGACAGCACTTTCCCATTGCTATTATATGCCAAATATAAGAAATGTCATATCTTTGTCATAGCTGCTAATTTTGTACCTTTTACAAGTGTTGAGTGTTGAGGAGGAAGGCCTGCTTGCATTACTATTATTATCATTATTATTACTATTATTATTATTATTATTATTACTATTACATGACAGATGCTAGTTATATGAAAGAGGTACCAAAATCAGACATGTGAATACACAAAAGGTTAACCAAGCATTTGAGAATTTTAAATAATGAGATATAATGAATGAATACAATCTTAAAATAACTAAAGTTATGGATAACATGCAATGTTTAAAGAGAATTAATAAATATACTTGCAAAAATTGTCATTTTCTACCCAATAAGAATATACTTAGTAGTATTAAATGTATATTTAGGTGACATTTGGTAAAATTTATGTTATGTGCTTTTATTCTAAACTTATGAGTTACAGTTGCACAGATAAAACAGATATTAAGAGGACAAGAAACATAAGAAATTTAGTTTATTGGTAAAGATTGATCCATTCAGCTGGGATCAGTACTCAGCACAAGAGTAAATATCTGAAAGAATTATCTGATGAAACATGATACTGAGTTATGTGTTGACATTAACATATAAGACTTGTGACCACTCACCACCTTCTTAAGGCCCCAGTTCCTCCCACTGGGTTGACTCATCCAGTCTGCATATGAGGGTATGCTCCTAGTCTTACTGCATCATGTTATGTGGTATTTGGTTGGTATCAATGGAAAGCCTACTCTTTTCTGAAGGAAAACAGAAAAGTAGTGGATCTGGGGGACTGGAGATGTCGGTCGGTGGGAAATGAGAGAAATGGAGGAAAGGATGGATATTGCATGAAGGAAGAATAAATAAAATTAAATAAATGTGTTGTGGGGAGGTAAAACTCACAGATAACCACCCTACACCTTAAATGAACTCATGAGATTTTGGAATTTGTACATTGCCACATTTTCCAAATTTGTAACTTGAGGCAGTTTATACTAATTTCATGTAATTCACAAATATGTACTGCAATTTGTACTTGCCTATTGAGATAAAATAGTGCATTTTGTTTTGATTTTATATATTGGGTAGAAAAGCAATCTCTATTCAGTTTTTCAGATACGTTGCAAGAAACAAATATATCAGAAATACGGATGAGTTTACATTTGACAATTTAAAAAAATAATATTGTCTGGCTGTTTCAGTCAATGCATACTCATCTAGAGAGCCAAGCCTGATGCATTTTTTTAAGCATTTGGAAGTTCTTACTTCCTTTGATTGCTTCTTTCATTTCCTTGAACATAATGGTTTTGGTTTTTCTCACTTGTTAAATTTTATATTCTAATATGGTGGGATGGGTTGTTGCCTTCTAGGGAATCCATTGCTTCAGACCCTTTGTACAATTCATTGTGTCTCCTGGGAAACTGTGATTCTATGAGGTAAGAGTGAGATTTGTATTAAATCTTCACTTTCTTCTAATCAGATCAGGTGAATGAAAGAGGGGAAAGAGGGAGGGAAGGATGGAGGGAGTGAGGCAGGGAGGGAGAGAGAGAGAAGAGAGTGAGAGAAGAGAGAGAGAGAGAGAGGAAGGGAGGGAGGGA